TTAAGCCGAAGAAGCTGGCTCGGTCTCAGGCCCGCCGTTGAGCAGCGCGGCCTCCTGCAGATCTTGCACCGAATCCATGGGCATGTCCTGGCGCTCCTCCCCGGGCAGGGCCTCCTTCTGGTGCATCGCCCGGTATCGGTTCACGACGCGGCTCCACTTGATCACGTTCTCGATCCTGCGAACGCCCTGCGGCCCCTCCATGTTGCTCATCGGGACCAGGTTCTCTGCGGGGACATGGGGATAAGGACGATGATGATATGACCTCCGATAATGACGAATGACGGAGGTGATAATGACGATGATATGACATGACGGGGATGAATGACCGATACACGATCGAATGACGAATGGGTGATAATGACGATGACGGTGATGATAATGACGATGCTGATCAATGAATAAGGGTGATAATGACTGATAAGGGTGATAATGACGATGCTGATAAGGGTGATGATGGTGGTATCTTATGCGGTATGCAGAACCTTTTCAGCGTGTGTGAGAGAGAGAAAGTGATTCATTCATATTATTCATGTGAGGGAGTATCAAATGGTTGTGTTATGTACAGTACATAGGTATAAGGAATTGTTCCATGCATAAGTATAAATGATATAAAAGTGTCAATTTTAGAAGAAAATGAACCATTACACACACACACACACACAACACACACACACACACACACACACACACACACACACACACACACACACACACACACACACACACACACACACACACACACACACACACACACACACACACACACACACACACACACAACTATCCAACAAAGTGAGTAAGCTATATAAAAGTGTGCACTGTGTCATATAACTTCTTTTTAAGCTTTTGTTACATGACAGGGAAAATGATATTTTTTGGCGTCTGCTTTATGAAAGTGAAAAATCCTATTTCAAATGTTTGTTACTTGAGAAGGAAAGAAATTATTTTTATAAGCATTCATATTTTATCATTATATTATTCAATTTTACCCTTTCTATTTCTCTATCTATCTACATCTCTCTCTCTCTCTCTCTCTCTCTCTCTCTCTCTCTTCTCTCTCTCTCTCTCTCTCTCTCTCTCTATATATACTATATATATATATATATATATATATATATATATATATATATATATATATATATATATATATATATATATGTATATATATATATATATATATATATAATACATATATATATATATATATATATATATATATATATATATATATATATATATATATATATATATATATATATATATATATATATATATATATATATATATATATATATATATATATATATATATATATATATATATATATATATATATATATATGTTGTGTGTGTTTTTGTGTGTGTTCGTGTTCATGTGCATGTGTGTATGTGTGTGCGTGAGCTCGTTTTTGTGTGTTCGTGGTGATGTACACACAAACACGCACTTCCAAAGTGAAGCGAATAAGCTAATGATGTGATTATAACGAGCAAATCGCTTCGTTCGGGCGGTTCGAAGGCCGCTTGTTACGCCGTGAAGTGGGACCATCGCCCTGAGAATACTTTTGGATCTTTTAATATCATACTGTGATTATATTTTTATTAAAATTACAAGACTTTACTTTCATGTATGTATATTAAAAAAAAGGAAAGGCTAAGCTCCAGAAGAAAGATTCTGAGGAAAATCCTTAAGGTCAGCTTCGCGTCGGATCCAGTTGGCGAAACTGGCGATGGAACGTAGTGGGAGGTTTTTTTATTTATTATTATTTTTTTTTATTTACAATTTCGGATTTCATCTTCTTTCGTTTATTGTGTTTTTTAGTGTTAGAGGCCTATGTATTGGTAAATATGTTCATAGGGAGTAGTGCTTTTAAATTTTGTGTTTGGATTGTTTTTTTTTTTTTTTCTTCTTTTCGTTTTCATTTGATCTGATCTTATTTTTTATTTATCCATTTGATTACCATTATTATTTCATTTATATAGTTATAGATCTATTAAGGGTGGTAAGTTTCGCGATGAAATGGATGATCTTGATGTGTAGTGTACGCATATTATACGCCGGTCAACGTGCACTATACAGGTGTGTGTGTGTGGGATTGTATATGTGAGGGTTCATGTGTGTGTCGGGGGGGGGGGGGGTATACACGCATAAACAGGGTATAATTGTATGTATTTATACAGTCGGCAACAAGAGTTTGCGAATTTCGTACGTTGGAGCGTGCGTGTATGTTTTTCTTGATGTAAATTCGTAATACTGTATTTGGAATGAGTCAGTGGTGTTTTATTTTGGCCATCCTCCTCACAGTTCACTGCATACTATAATGTTCTTCGTTTCATGTTCTCTTTAGCTTTTTGTTCACATAGAATTGGCAGTTTAAGTGATGAGAAGAAAAGTAAAAATTATAGGTAGTCACGAATATTTCTCATTCTTCCCTCTCTTCGTCTTCTTTTTCATCTCTCGCCTCTTCTTCCTCTCCTCCTTCTTCCTCCTCCTAATCCTCCTC